TTCACTTGTTCACTTGTTATCTATCTATTCTAGCAAAGAACAATCTATATGAAAAGGATTATTTTTGTCTTATTCATCCCTGTATCCCCAGTACCAAACACAGTGCTTGACTTTTAACAAATAAAAATGAATCAAAACAATAAGAAAGAAAGACTAAGTCATTTGACAAGACATTTGTACTAGAGAAATCTAGATCCTGTTAGGGCACAAGTAGCTAAGGCAACTCGGTGGTTTGCTCCACTGGACAATTTTTCTAAACCAAAAATATTTTGCAGAGTCTAGCATTTGTCTGTCATATGGCTTGATAACAGAATATCAGAGGGATGTGTGGGTGGCTCAGTTGGTTAAGCATCTGCCTTTGGCTCAGATCATGATCCCAGGGTCCTGGGATCGAGTCCCGAATCAGGGTTCCTTGCTCAGCAGGGAACTTGCTTCTCCCTCTGCCTGCCACTCCCCCATTCATGCTCTCTCACTCTCTCTCTCTCTCTGACAAATTAATAAATAAATCTTTTAAAAAAAAAGGAATATCAGAAATGGTGTAGTTAACATTTTTCAAGACACGGCATAATCACAACCTTGAAACTTTTCTTCTTAATTTTTATCTTTATCTAAATGTCCTTGTACTGACCACCGTGACATGGCACTGAGATCCTCCACTGCTGTCCCAGGGACTGTGTCCACTGCAGAGAGTACTATATCACAGGTCATACTCTTTTCTCAGCCTGACCCACATCCAAGGAACAAACAATTCAGGATTATAAAGGCTTGGCCACCCCAGCCCAACTGGGGACACATCTGAAAAGCCACTGTAGCTCCAAAGTTCCCCATGGGGTACGTGGAAAGTGTCATTGGGCCTTCACCCCTCTGCGCATTCCTGCCTCCTTGTACCCCTTCGTTAGGGGTTGATCTCTAGGGCATGTCTTATAAACCTCTTGAACACTAAAATTCATTCAGAATCTGCTTCTCAAATAATATCATCTGTGACAGCACTGGGAGTGGTCTGAGAAAGCTGGTGATAGGATGGGGCTCTGCAGCTGGATCACTCACTGCCTGGCTGGTGACGTGGACCCTGTTCCTGGTGGGAGGTGGAGCAGAGAGAATGCCTGGCATAGGGGGCAGTCCAACTGTTCAAACTCTCACCATAGTAGGGTCAGACAGTATATCTGCAGAAGGGAACTCGTTAGCTAGAATGATGTGTGAGGTGTTTGAGAGCAGAAATACTAACTATATGGACAACAGGAAAAGATCACAAAAAGTTGAGGACAAGCAATCATCAATGTAAAAACCAGAGAACCTCCCTAGTAGATACAAAAATGCTCTCAGATTCTACAGCTCCTGGGCAGAGAGAGCTAATCACCAGGAATAAGGATTTATCATCACAGTATTCAAATACTCACAAACTTCAGCAGGCAGACCTGCTAAGTCAGGATCCTGGTTGGATCCTGACACAGGAGATATTTGGTTTGATGCCTCCCAAAATCTTGAATTCCCAGATTCCCTAAAACTTTCTGAAGCCACAAAAATGTTCTGCCCTTTCCTCCTTGGGAATCACATACACCAGAAGCTTCTCCCTCCTCAGACAACATGTACCACCCTAACTTTCATCTACCTTCACCTCCTCTCCAGACCCACAGGCCCATAACAAGGGTTATGTCACAATAAAACCCACCTAGGACATACTAGGCTTAACAAAGAAAGAAAAAGGATATTCTACAAAGGAACTGCGAGATCTAGCTGGTTTATATTAACCAGAAGAGTATATATGAGATTAATTTCTGAGGGTGTTTGCTCAAAGAGGTTAGAATTTAACTATTAGATAAGAAAAAGTTTATTGATTTGAGGTGCTCTCCTGAACTATAGAATTTACAACCGGTAAGAATCTCAGATGGCATAAACTGACTTGTTAGAGTGGTTCCTGGAAACATGGAGAAAGTAATGGCTCATATTAAATGTTGTTGAAATGCCAGAAATACTATAGCAGATGGCAGAAGAGGGGATCACAAAGCTCTGAGAGTACATTCTAGAATACAAGTACTATGTAAGGCCAGAAAACCCATCAGATATTATGTTCTCCCAGAGGGCCCAGAAAACACACCATTTACCACACCATTTACCAAAGCCATAAGGAAGATACCAGTGAGAAGATATCGATATTAACAAGTTGTGTCGATTCTCTTCTGAAAGCCAGAACTGACAGAAGGAAATGCTGTTCTAGAACTGGGATCATTGATAGCAATGGGGATAATAGGTCTAGATGAGGATCAGAAGCCATGAGAAGCCAGGAGGACCTAATTATCATAAGAGTGGCAAGGCTGGGGTTAGTGGGGGGCTGACACACAGAGAATTATTGAGGTAGTTTAAAGAATACAGCATCCCCAGGTGTAAAACAGACAGCTGACAAGTCTACTAGTGAATGTGTACAATTAAAATAAATCGAGAATGAATGAACAAATCTGAGGGAAGTTGTCCCAACAAAGTCACCATATCTTTTTCAACTTCCATGCCTCAGCGAATTTTTGGACTCAGAACCCTCTAATGTAAGAGGCCAAGAATCCAGAAGGAAAGAACTTGCAACACCATGGTAAGAATACGGGGTAATAATTCCTTCAAACCTTCTCCAGTGGGACCTATAGCTCTTTATTCAGGTAACTGTGCTCTGGGGGCAGGGAATACCCAAACATTTCAAGGGCACAGAGTTGACAGTGATACCAGAAGACCAAAAGCCTCTATATGCCATCACCCTCCTCATTAGAGTAAAGGCATTTGGAAGTCAGTAATAAATGGAGCCTTGGCCAAGGTCTAGCTTATAATGGGTCCCATTCATTAGCACCACAGACTGACCTGGTGATTTTCTCAGTCCCCAAATGTATGATCGGAATAGACTAACACTATTAGTAACTGCCACAACACCCATATCAAGTCCGTGGCCTATGAGGTAAAGAGTATAATTATGAAGAAAGTTAAGAGAAAGAATCTGAAACTGCCCCACCCAACCCTGCGAATGCAGTAAGTAAAAACAGCAGCAAAGTATGGGGCGGTAGAAAGAGGCAGAGAGTAGTGTCCCCTTAAGTATCTAACTGGCACACAGGAATGATTCTAATGAAATTGTCCAAGGCTGTTGGTGGTTCCATGCTGAAGCCCAACTTCTCACTTTATCCACTACCATCATCTACCTTATCCTTCTCCCTTTTCCCACTCCTTCTGTCCCCCCACCCTCCAAAGGGGTTCATTCCAAGGGTACTCCTTAACTCCATCTTAGAATGTGATTTCTGAGTAACTCAACTTGCAACAGTCATTTTTCACCTTGAATTTAGGTTACATTTTCTTTTTAAATAGTCTTGGGCTTATCTTCAGGACCACTTCCCAATTTAATTGGGTAATGTTAGGTGTCGCTTCTACAAAACTTTTCCCAAAGCAGCAGCATGCTAGAAACTACTTTTGAAAAGTCTTTGTCAATCTTCTCTGGGAAGAATCTATGGTATAACTCCTGATCTATAGGTATACTCTGCATTTAAAATTACTGATTTTGTCAATCACTATTTCTTTATCAAAGATCTTAGGTAATCCTTCAATTCACTATTTGAAAAAAAAAAAAAAAGCTTTACTGACTCTATATTGACACAGAGCATTCAAAATTAGCTCAAATCTCATTTTCTGAGGAAAGCTTCTCATTGATTCCAAATGGAATTATTTTCTTTTCATTTCATCAGCATTTAAGTATATAAGCCATACAAACTATGTTCATAAACTTGTTTAACAGCTTCTTTGTAAGTATACTGAAGTTGTATATATAGACTCTACTTACACAAATAGACAATAAAAACAAACATGATAAGACCTGCATTTCCCTTTTATTTTACATAACATTGCAATGTTCTCTGCTATCTAAAGAGTTATGGGTAATTTCAAAACATTACATTTTATATAAGAAACTACTAGCAATTAACTGTACCATGCAATTTTGAGCTTAAACTGTACAGTTCCTCAACTATTTTTATGAATAAGTACAGCTAAACCAAATAAGCTAATAACAACAATAAATAAATCAGGCCTATGTTTTTAAAAAGTAGCCCATACTAACTGGCAAATATACTCTGCCTTGAAACCTTAGGCAATGAGAGAGTCAACACATTCTAAATATTGTGCAAGCTGATGAAAGCACTTTCTGCTGTTGCATACTTCTTAAAATTAAACCTTATAATAAAAAAAAACCCAAACTATGTCTCTAGTTACAGCTGATTCTACTGATGAGTTTATTTCTATGAAAAACCAAGGCAACATATAGGTTTTAAAATAGCCCATGGTTTCTGTGGCTGCACAATAACAAATGGGATGGCTGTCCCATTAGTGTGACAAAATTCTCTCAGAATACTTTACTAAATTATGGTGGAAGTCTCTTTGCTGAAAGAAAAAAAAAATTGGAAAACTTCATAGTAGCACTTGGCCCACAATTAAATGTTACTTAAAATAGGTGTAATAGAGCAATGCATTTTAATCAAATAGTATAGATTTAATCAGAGACTCATGAATTCTTAAACATCATTCTGGACTTGTGGATTATACTAACTCACACTCAATCCCCACTTCCTACCACAAAAGGGTCAGATAAACCCACAAAGATGACTGGAAACCACATTTTATTAGCAGCCAGAAACAAAGTACAGACTGCCAATCATAAAATAGCTTGCTCAGGTAATTTGGTCAGTGATCAGTGTCTCATTCACCATAATCATGCGTTTCAATAACCACACAATCTAAACATTTTCATAAAAGTATCTCCAGGAACAGCAACAAAGACAACATTTTTTGAGATAGATGCATGACTTTATCTTTAGGTCACTAATAATTAAGACTGTGTGTGTATGCATTTCATATAAATCACTTCTAATTACTAAATATACTACACCAAACTTGGACACATTTTATAGTTCATTATGTTAGGTTATCTTGAAATTTTTGAAATTCAATTCAAATATAGATAAAATAAAGATTATACATACTTGGAAGAAACTGCCTCCATGAATTCATCCAAAAAATCATCATATTCAGGACCTCTCACTCTTCTCTGCCGTAGCCCAATGTACAACGGATCTTTGAGTAAATCCTATTAAAAAAAGTTACCACAGATATAGAAATGATAGGGACGTTATTCACACTTTCTGAGCTCAGTTTCCTCATTTACAGATGTACAGAAATGGAAAAAAAATCTTTCCATACTAAGTGAGAATTACTACTACAGTATTATTTTGTATTACACAGAATATGTCCAGAGTATATGTCAAATAGGAAAAAGAATTATTAAACACTAAAACATTCTGTTTTATCTGGCAGAAATAAAAGGAATTAAAATATTTTAGTGGTGCTAATTAGAAAAGTTCAATTCTCATTTTATAAGCAAAATTTTTCACATAGAAAAGTAATACTGAGTTTTAAAATATTATATTAGTTTAGGAAATGGAAAGATACCAATTCTTTTCTTAGATTTGTTTTGTTTCTGAAAGCAAAAAATCTTCAACAAACATTTTGATTATACCTTTAGTATATTAGCTGGCTGATGTTAAAAATAAATTTTTAGCCTTAACTAAAGTTTTCTTAAACTTTTTAAACTTTACAAAGTTCAAGTTTTTTTCTAAAACTGATAGATATAAGACATTATTCTTAGAAGTTTTAGTATATGGTATAATTTATATACTATAAAATACATAACAAAAGCTCCCAGTAAACTAGGAATAGAAATGAACTTCCTCAACCTAATAGCGGGCATCTGTGAAATATCCACAGCTAACAACATATTTCACAGTGAAAGATTGAATGCTATTTCCCTAAACTGGAAACAAGACAAGAATATCTACTCTTTTTAAAAAAAAAGATTTTATTTATTTGTCAGAGGGAGAGAGTGCACAAGTTGGGGGAATGACAGGCAGAGGGAGAAGCAGGATCCCCACTGAGCAAGAAGCCCAATGCGGGACTTGGTCCCAGGACCCTGGGATCATGACCTGAGCAAAGGCAGACGCTTAATGACTGAGCCACCCAGGCATCCCAAGGATACCTACTCTTGCCACTTCTATTCAACATGACATTGGAAACCCTAGCCATTACAATAAGGCAAGAAAAAGAAAATACAGGAATATGTATTAGAAGGAAGAAAGTAAACTTTTTATTTGTATATGCATGACCATGAACATGAAAAATATTTAGAAATCTACATACAAAATAATCCACTAGAAAAAAATATGTGAATTTAACACAATAGTGGGCTCTAAGACCAATATATACAAATCAACTATATCTCTATATACTAGCAATGAACAGTTGAAAATGAAATAAAATATACAACTCCATTTACAATATCATTCTAAAACATAAAATTCACAGGGACATATTTCAGAAAATATGTGTAAGCCTTATACAGTGGAAACTACAAAATTTTGCCGAATGAAATTTTAAAAGACAAACTGTTTTTATGGGCTGGAAAAAAAATTACAATCTATGTCATGTAATAGACCCACTGTCATCTTCAGTGACCTGAAAAAACAATGTATCTAAAGAACTGTGAATCTGGTGAAAGAGATATCCAGGCAGAATGCCAAATATGTAAACTGACTTTCCATAGTATAATAAAGTTAAAACAGGGGATGAGATGAAGAAGAAAATGTTCAGCTTGTGAGCAAAATTTAAAGAGAACGTGGAAGGCACAGGACTTGCTTGTAAAGAATTTCCAAAGTAAAATAAGGTCTGCCATCAAAGATCAAGTGTGTGGTTTTAACAAGTTTTGTGAAAAGCTCTGAATGATTTAAAGTGGAGCCCAAAAAACCATCATGGCTAGCTAAAAAGAGCTGGTTCTGCACACACGGACATGCTAGTCAATATAGGGAGGTCTGTTCTGAAAAGAATGATGAGTAAGTCCTTTCTCTAACAGGGTAAACATTAGTCTGATACATAGAAAGCTTAAGAAAAAATTAAGGGTGCTGTACTATTTGGATGATTTGGGACAGACACTTCAAAATGAACATTCTTCTCTGGGCCCCCGACTTTCCACAGGCGGAAAGCAGACAGAGAAAGCTGTTGAGCGGCAACACCACCATTTCTTATGGAAAAGGAAAGATATCTCAAAGGACAGACCCAAGAGCTCAGAGAGTAGACCCAAAGGCCTAAACGAACAATGAACTACAGAACCATTCTAAGGAAACAGAACTAGGCCCCATTTAAAAAATATCCTGTGCCTTCAGGGTAGGTGGCCTGGCAACTTGAGTTCAGGGGCAATTCAGAATTGCCATGAACCACTGAGGGCAATATGATTTCCAATCCTCCCATTTCAAATCTAAGTGTGGATTATGGTTATTCCGTCCCTGACTCTTCATCGAACTGCTATGAGGAGCCACACCAACAGGCAGCTCACAAGAAGCTTCATTTGCATCTAGAACTTATTTAGATGACAGGACCCTGAACTCTGGGCCTGCTGTTGTTAGTGTGATGAAACTTCTGGGAACCTAGGATGGAGATGTGCATATTTTACATGTGGAATGTGAACAATTTGTGAAGGATGAGAATCTAGATGGAGAAAGGCTGTGCCAAGCATCCTGGCCTTCCTAGCCACCCCAGTGAATCATAAACATTAATAAAACAATAACTGTTTTAAGTCACTAAATTTGGAGGTGGTTTGCTATAGATAAATGATATGTTTTTGCAGGTCTTGTGATGTTAAAAGGTTAAACCATTTAAATGATCTGAGTTGGGATTTGCCTAAAGCCAACAGAAATTACAGCCCAGTTCATACCTATTGTCCTGGTATAATTATTCATAGCATCCTCTTTCAGTGGTTTGGCCAATAGACTCAGCGGTCATCCCACTTACAATATACTGCACAGCAATGAGTTAAGGCTTTCCAGCTAGCTGTAAGTTAACATATTTAATAATATAAATGCATTTCAGATGAAATGTAAAATCCAAAACAGTGCTGTTGTAAAGCCCAGCTGTTTTGTGAGGCCTGAAAACAGTCCACTGGCAGACTGCTGAACAGCTGAGGTTGAAGCACCAATGAGCTACCAATGGCTGCCAGAACAAGAACACTTTCTCCACGTCTGCAATGTATTTGGATTTCTACAGTATGAATTAGACAAAGGACATAACTGAGAAAAGATGTTATGTGTTTTGCCTTTTCTCTCATTCTTTCCCATGCTAATAATTAAAGTGTGTATCATTAAGAAGTCTGACGACAATGAAGAGTCGATTATGAAGATTTATGAACACTTTATCTTGTTATCTTTGAATTAAACCAGGAAGTTATAAAATTCTTTCAGTCACAATGTCCCTGCCAAACTTGCTGTCTTTTAAAAATTTCACGATAATTAAGCCTTGAATAATGAGGGCATTCTTGGAAATCTTACTGACCAAAAAAATTAGTATCTACAAAAAGCAATTTAACAAGATTGCCCAGTTTTGATAATGGCTCCATCCACCAAATAGCGTGGCACAGAAGTGATACTAATTCATCGGATTAAAAACTTCTCGAGTACACATTTAAGAGATCTTTGTTGGAAAACGGAGTAGAGTACACATTTAAGAGATCTTTGTTCGAGTACACATTTAAGGGATCTTTGTTGGAAAATAAATGAAAGACTTGAAATTAAGCAAAGACTTAAAAAAAGTTAGACTTCCTTTAGCAACAATTGTCACATACAATATACGTGGTGTCACTAAAGACTTCCAAGCATGAAAGAAGGAAAAAGAGTAGGGAAAAAATAGTAAAAGACAAAAATATATAGCAATAGAAGAGTTCCAAAAAGGAGATAAGGAGGGAATACATTGGTGAAGGTAATAACTTATGCATTAGCAATAGCTCAATTTTGGAATCTTGGAAACTTTTATTTGAAGTACTCATTTATTTAATGCTAATAGAAATCATTATCAATTCTCACCTTGCTCCTTTCTCACATTCCTACCTTTCTAATCCAGAGTTTGAGAATTAAATATTTTCTTAAGAATGAAAAAAAGTAAAAAAAAAGTAATTTATTTTTCATTCCTAAATACACCTTGGTGTGTGTTTAGGGTTGCCAGGCATTCTATATATATGGACATGGCCTGAATTTAATGATTTTTATCCTGTATCCTGTATTGACTTTGTCAGAACACCCTAAATATTCTGTATTCAGCTTTTTTCAATAAATTACAAAAATTTGGGTGCCTGGGTGGCTCCTAGTTGCTTAACCGACTGCCCTTTGCTCAGCTCATGATCCTGGAGTCCCAGGATTGAGTCCTACAACAGTCTCGCTGCTCAGAAGGGTATCTGCTTTTCCCTCTGACCCTCCCCCATCTCATGCTCTCTCTGTGTCTCTCATTCTCTCTCTCAAATGAAAAATAAAATTAAAAAAATAAAATAAAATAAATAACAAAATTTTGGTAGTCAGGAAAAATATTTTTTTAATATTTTAAGGTCTTCTTTATCATCAAAAAAGCAATATTATCTATCAGAATTTGAGAGGACTGAAAAGTAAAATTAAAAACAAAGAATACCAATAATCTCTACCCACTATTAGCATCTTGATACATATTCTTCTAGGTCCTTTTCCCTATGTTTATGCATGCAGAATACTATCTCTCTAAATGTGCGACAATATCATAGACTGTTTTATAACCCTTTTCATAGAGGAATATATTTAGAAAGTTTTCATGTCACTAGATGAACATTTTAAAAGCTTGCAAACTGTATTAAAATTCTGCCCTCCTAGAGAGGATGAACAAATTAATCTCTCAACCTAGGGACATCTAAGTATAAATCTTCCTGAACTTACAATAGAATTACATCCCAATAAGCCCATCATAAACTGAAAACACCTTAGGTTAAAAATGCATTTAATACACCTCATCTAATGAACACCATATCTTAGTCTAGCTTCCCTTAAATGTGCTCAGAACACTTATATTGGGCTACACTTGGGCACAATCATCGACAAAAAGCCTATTTTATAATAACACGCTGGTATCTCATGTAATTTCTTGACTAGTATACTGAAAAACAGGATGGTTGTCTGGATACAGAATGGTTGTAAGTGTAGTGGCTGTTTAACCTCCTGACCACATGGCTGACCAGGAACTTGTTGCCTT